GTGGTGGTGGTGGGGGTTGGGGGAGGAATGCCTTTCTGAGCACTCTTTTCAGAATCAGGTGCACTAGCGGATAAATTAGGTCAGAATATGCATGCTTTTTCCAGGAGCACATTAACTTGTCCACAGGCTGAAATAAAATAGCTTCTTTGGCAATTTCTAGTATTCACATAAAAGTATTTTCTATCTTCTTAGAATAGTAAATGGTGTTCATTTATGGGACACTTTAAAATTTAATATTTCTGATGGAGCTAATGGCAGAGTTTCAAATTATGACTCTTAAAATTCATTTGGGTTAGGGAGGAAGAGTGAAATAAAAAGGAAACAAAATGTGTTCCTCATTTTTATTACTGTGAGTGAGAATTACTGATTCCATGTACTTGGTACTTAGTTATCCTCTGGCAAGAACGGCTCTTTAGCTGGATTCTAAAGTTTACATGGCGGGGTAATTTACAGGGTTTCTCAAAATTTTGCTAAGTTGTAGTGCAAGGACAGTGATTAGAAGGCAGGCCCAGCCAGGCCAACGATTGGCTCGCCACTTAATATCTTTGAGACGCAGGTTCCCCAAAATCAGTGTTGGTAACTGACTTGTTTATTGAGAAAATTTAAAAGAATTAAAGAAAGCCTTTATAAAGCAGCAAGCAACATAAAAAACACACAAATATAATTTATTTGTATTATATTAATACTTCTCATATTATCACTGCAACCAAAGAATATGAAAATTAAACAAACATTATCATTACTGTAATTTTTCCTAATATAATTTGAAAGAACTATTACCCAAAGACAGTTATATTAGTCATGAAATTACAAACTTGTTTACAATATAAATTTTTTTTATTTTATTGTTTAAAGTATTACAGATAGTAGTAGATATGTCTCCTTCCCCGCCCCCCGCTTTGACCTTCCCCCGGCCTCTCGTACCTCCCAGTACATGCCCTCACCCCACTCCCCAGTGTCTTGTGTCCATTGGTTATGCTTATATGCATGCATACAAGTTCTTCGGTTGATCTCTTACCTCCCTCCACAACACTCCCCAGCCTTCCCACTGTAATTTGACAGTCTGATTCTGATTTATTACAGGCACTTGAATATTAAGATTATAATATTAAACTTATTGGAATATGCTAAGAAAAAGCATAGACGAACCTCTTAAGAAATATTTGGATGTATTTTGATAAAAATTAGGAACTAATCCAAAACAGATATGCTTAGTGAAAGATATATACTCTATTGCCACAAATCATAAAAATATTATTAATGTTTGTATAAATGATTATTTATCACAGGTTAGAGGTAGCAGCAGGGAGAATTGGTGGTGTGGTTGAAAACATTGTCATAAATATTATAAATTTATTGTCCTCTTAAGACATTTTCCAATACTGACAAAGATGGAGGAGCTATCTCTCAAAGTATGAGACACTTGATATCTGGGATCTTGTGTCCAAGTTAATAAGACAATGGCAAGGTAGACGAGAAGTACTTCCAACCTGGTGTTTAGTATTTGATTTACAAAGTAAAGGATTAGAGTTCATAGGAAGAGAGGTTAAGCCTGTCAGTTATGGTTCAAGAGAAGATGAAAATCTATCCTTCGTCATGGTATCAGGCCATATGTTCAAAGCAGGCCTTCTTCTCCCTTCCTTCCCCCCCCTCCACTTTAAATGTAATTCTTACCCAAATTTCTGGGTATCTACCATGTAATTATTATATATTCTTATATGATTCTATTGAAGGGTAAAGAATTGAATTTTCTTTCCAGCCTAGTGAGCTGGAATAAATAAATTTCATTTTGAATAGGGAAGTAAAAGAGATTTCCCTAGGAAGTCTAGAATAAATAAATTTCATTTGAATAGGGGAAGTAAAAGAGATTTCCCTAGGAAGTCTAGAATAAATAAATTTCATTTTGAATAGGGAAGTAAAAGAGATTTCCCTAGGAAGTCTAGAATAAATAAATTTCATTTTGAATAGGGAAGTAAAAGAGATTTCCCTAGGAAGTCTAGAATAAATAAATTTCATTTTGAATAGGGAAGTAAAAGAAATTTCCCTAGGAAGTCTAGAATAAATAAATTTCATTTTGAATAGGGAAGTAAAAGAAATTTCCCTAGGAAGCCTAGAATAAATAAATTTCATTTTGAATAGGGAAGTAAAAGAGATTTCCCACATACAAATGTTTGTTGTGTAAACTTTATACCCATTACACACAGTAATGGGGTCCAAGTGTGTTGAAATCAGACAGAGCTGGGTATTATCCCTGGCTCTGCCTTTCATTTGCTCTGGGCCTCAGGCAATCCCTACACCCTTCTGAGCTCAGATTCCTCATCTGTAAACGGAGTATAAGAAAATCTCATAGGGTTTATGTGAAGATTCACTGTAATAAATTACATAAAATAATACTTAGTGTGCCCTTGAAAATATTTATTAATTTCCTTTTTCTACAGTTTTGTTTATAGTTGGCACAAGAAAATCAAGCTTTCTTATACTGATCGATATGTTTGTGCCACAGTGGAAATACTTGCCTATATTTTCATCATTGGAAATTAGGACATGTGTTTAAAATACATGTGAATGCTTTGAACACTGAAAATGCATTGAAAATTATTCTTTCTTATATTTAAACAGGAGTCTAGTTCAAAAGCTTTCTTAAAAATGTTATTAAATATAACATGTATGAAAATTCTCAATTAATAAGACTACCTTTTTAATATGTCTGATAAATTTAATGGGATTGATATTAAAGAGACATAAATATTGCTCTTCCTGTTATCTTGTAAGACCTATTAGATATATGAAGATATTAATTTATTACACATGAACTCTGTTTTAATATAATTATTAGCATCCTATGTCGTCACATGTAGACATGTGACATAGAAAACTGTCCAGTTGTACTTGTTAGGCCTTTTGAAATCTTATTGCTACTCAATGATTTTCTATTTTAAAGAGTATTAAATAGATCACATATGCAAATAATGAGACCAAAATATCCCAAGAACAATGTACACAAACTGTATAGTTTATGTCTTACTTGGGCTGAAATGGTTTCCATTTTTAGTAATACATGAACAAAAATCTAGCTGCATAGATTCTAATTGCTTTAGCAGATACTATGAGTATATCATATAAGTTACTGTGCCATATTTTATTACATGATTGCATCAATTTTCAGCAACTATTTTTAACTTTTGAGACCACTCTTTCCCCTTTGTCTTGTGGATTTCCTGAGTGTTATTAGACTGAGGTGAGGTAAGGCATTAAAGGAAATAATAACTGTGCTTAATGTCTAATCCAAAGTCTTATAAATTATAAACCATGGATGACATCATGGCAATATATTTCCTAAATCTCAATCTTGTCCAAGTAATAAGGTTAGGTAACAAAATTGTAATTTTAATTGTTTTATGTAACAATTAAAACATAAGTGACATTTCTAAAAAAGACAAGAGTAAGAAAATCCTACATTCTATATGATAGAATGACCATTTTGGGTGAGAAACTATATAAAATATGTAAAGTTCAATAGTTAGTATTTAAAACTATATGCTATTTTTTTTTTTCACACACACAAAAATGCCTTGATTTCCAGCTATACTGAACTATCAAGTACTCCCTGGTCATACCATGGATTTTTTTTTATTTTTGTAACCCCCGCCCCCCCCATCTCCTGCTCAATTCTCAACCCCAGGGTGAACTTTCTTTCCTTCAGTGGTTCTCAACCTTCCTAATGCCGTGACCCTTTAATACAGTTCCTCATGTTGTGGTAACCCCCAATTTCATTGTTACAAATTATGTAATTATATATGTGTTTTCCGATGGTCTTAGGCGACCCCTGTTAAAGGATCATTTGACCCCCAAAGGGGTCGTGACCCACAACTTGAGAACCACTGCTTTAAGGCTAAGTTAAAGTTACTTCCTAGGAGAAGTCTTCTGAAATTCCTGTAGATATAAGTTATTAGTTTCTTTTGTGCATATCCTAATTACAATAGTACACAGACAATGACTATACTGGGTAAAACTATTGACTTCAGCAAAGAAGGGATGTAATAGGATCTCATAGAAAATATTGGGGCATATTGT